ATTAGTGTTAATTATATCTATCATGCAAAATGAGTTATTTGAATGTGACATTCATTTAATCCTAGAACTTAAAGATTTAAGTTGTGACAACTTATTATCTTAAGGTTTTTGTCTAAATTCAAAAATACATAATTAAGTAATATATATATATATATATATATATACTAATAATATATTATTTATTTTATGTTTTTTAATATGTTTTCTCATCTAATAAATATAAATTTTATTATTCAACATGTTTTTATCCAATGAATATAAACATGTAATATACAAAAAATTAATATATTAAATAATGTAATATAATAATATTATATTATTTATTTTATATTGTAGGTTTATATTTATTGTATAAAAATACATTAAATAATAAATTTTACATTAACTTATTAAAATATTTATTATCTTTATTAAAAAAATTATTATTTATTAATTGTAAACTAGCATTAGAGAAATTTTTTTTAAAAAGATTAAGTGACTTAATGGCTTAAATGGAGAAAATTACAGTGAAGAACATTGGTTCTAGTCTTAATTTAAAAATTGGAAAATAAAATTAAAAGCTAAAAAATATGAGAATATCAAAAGTACAATTTAATAAAAATATATTATACAGAATAGCTAATTTCCAAGCTATTAACTATTTGTGTCATACCTTGTGAATGAAAAATAAATTATATTTTGATATATAGTTTTACTTTTACAATTTTTTTTATATTAAATGTTAAGGTTAGTTGGATCTTGAAAACTTATCAAAATCAGGGCAGATCTCAAGACTCTACGAGAATATCTAAAGATATTTATAGATTATCCATCCATAAGGTTTTCACTTCTGCAGGAATCAAACACACATGTTTTTAGGATATGAGTCCGTTTTTAAGATATATGAGTACGTTTTTTACCAGTTGGGTCAACTTTTGTGGACAATTTTTTATTTTACAAATAAACATTATATAAGATCCTAAATTTTAAAATAAAAAAGTAAAAATCTTGATGTTGATTGCATGATGAAAGTTGAGGGACTTGATTTGTACTCTACCTTTTATTTCATCTGCTACGAAAATCCAAACCCGTGTTTCAAGTTAGGGAGTATGCCAAAACCATATAGTAATTACTAATTACTGGGTAGTGGGCATTAGGTCACCAACCATAACGAAAATATGCGCGGATATATAATACAATTATATATAATTATATAATATTAAACTATTAATTAATTGGCTTCTAGATCTGTGATTAACAATCAAAATTTCATAGCTCTTTCAGTTTTATTTTCTCTATAATAAATGATAACAACTCTATCTCCTTTCCCATTACTCTTTCGTCGTTTTCTTTTTCAACCGGTGAAATATATCTGTTGCACAGAACTGGAATTTAACCCTAATCAGCATCAGAGTCCCTCCTTTGATACTGCTTATAGAATAATGTCAACAAAACCTCTTGCTATTATATTACTTGCTGTCCAAACTTATACATTGAAGCACAGATAACTTGGCAATCACATTAATTACTTTATTATACTTTTTAAAACGTTTTATAAAGTTTTTATATACATGGATATATATATATATATATATGTGTGTGTGTACGCACGATTTAATGCTAATGTAATTATACCTTGATCCTGGAAGCCAGCCACTCAGTCCAACAACTGCTCTTAAGTTGACAGGGTAAGGGATGCCATTTCCATAC